GATTTATTGTTAAACAAGATTTCGATTTTTTTTAGGATATCTTCAGAAAAGAGCATCATGCATGTGATAAATATATTGACGTTTAAATCATCAAACAATCAGCATTTCATCATAAGATTTCCATAATTGCTAGCAGGACTGTGTGACAGGTCAGACACATAATAAGAATACACAAGTAGCACGTAGAGAACCCGACCCGCTGTACACAAAATATCCGTAGAGCTCGATAGTCATATTATTGTGTAGGTACGCATGATATGTTATGCTGAGCTGGATAAAAGGCAAACTGCGCTGGGCTCAAAGCTCATTTCACAAAATATTTTTAAATAATTACTAAAAGATATCTGTTGTTTCTTTTATAATCTTTTTAACACAGTCTTTGTCATGTGTCTTTGTATGCTCTTTTTTCTTCCTACGTCTTCTTACTTTTTTCTCTTCTCTCTCTTTTTTTGGCCGGCGTTTTGAGGGGGGGCGACCGCCCTCACCGCCCCCCCTGGCTACGCGCCTGGCTGAAGCTTATTAATATTAGTACTGAAGCTGAAAGTACTGAACGCTACTCACTGAACTCGGTAGTGAATACTGAAGCTATAACTCTACTAAACTTACTAGGCTGAAGCTAATTCATTAACGCAAGCAACACTGTTTATATGATTTCAGCAGCATAAATATTGTTACAGTAACATTAGCTTCTGTTCCTCCTGTTGGACCTGTCCCTGGACGTCCTGTTCCTCCAGTGGAACATAGAGTTCCACTGTAACATTACAGCCTCATACATCCACACATGTACACATTTTTCTAGCAAACCCATTTCACTTCTTTCTTAACAGTAAACAAATTAATGTTTAACCCTCCTCTTGCTGGGTCACTGCGCTTTGACCTGTGACCTCCAATTTCGTGCTCATGATGGATTCCCTCCCCATCACTCTATACATCGAATATCAACAGCCTAGGTCGAGCTGCTGACATTTGTCTCGCAATTCGGATTATTCCGTATTAAGAGGGAAATATTACTTAATTACTTAATTAATTAAACATTTCGTGTAGTCGTGATAGATGGAACAGGACCAGTCAGCCTGCTAGCCCGCGGAGTGGCAAAGAAAATGGGCCTAGTTACCCATGTAGATGAAATCTTGAGTCAGTTCAACTCAGATATTGGTCTCTTGAAGACCGAACCAGTCAACACCACTGTGTGTCAACACCGCACGAAAAGTTCCGTTTCCCCTGATGGATGCGGTGAAAACAGAAATACGGAGAATGCAGGATAGTGGAGTGATCCGTCCTGTCACTGAGCCCACCGAATGGTGTGCAGCTATGGTTCCGGTTCAGAAGAAAAATGGTAAACTGCGCATTTGTGTTGACCTAAAAAGACTGAATAGGGCTGTTCGCAGAGAACATTATACACTTCCGAATCTAAGCGACATCGCTCCTAAGTTGGCTCAGTCCAAGTACTTTACCAAGCTGGATGCAGCAAGTGGATTTTGGCAGATCCCCTTGGATGAGAAAAGCCAACTGCTCACAACATTCATGACGCCGTTTGGGAGGTATGCATTCTGCCGCGTTCCCTTCGGTATTACTTCGGCGCCAGAGATCTTCCAGCGAAAAATGACCGAGTTACTTCAGGGCTTGGAAGGAGTAGAGGTCATAATGGATGATATCTTGGTTCATGGCCGATCCATGGAAGAGCATGAAAGGAGGCTAACTGAAGTTCTGACGAGACTTCAGGAAGCAAGTCTTCGCTTAAACCGAGAGAAATGCCAGTTTAGGATGAAAGAATTGGTTTACTTTGGTGACCTTATCGGTGCTGAAGGGATCAAGCCAGACCCAGAGAAGGTACGGGCAATGATGGATCTGACTCCACCCTCCAATGTCAGGGAACTCTGTAGCTTGATTGGAATGTTTCAATACCTAGGCAAGTTTGCAAACAACCTGTCTTCGGTTATGAAGCCCATGACAGATCTGCTGAGGTCTGACAGTGTCTGGTTATGGGGGCCAAGTCAGCAAGGTGCCTTCCAAGAAACCAAACAGCTACTATGCGCTTCTCCAACACTAGCATACTATGATGCGAAAAAGCCAACGATCATAAGTGCTGATGCTAGCAGTTTCGGGATAGGGGCCGTACTCCAGTAGCAGTAAAACCAGTAGCATTCTGCTCAAGAACACTCAAGCGCTGAGCAGCGTTATGCTCAAATTGAGAAGGAATGTCTGGCGGCAGTATGGGCATGCGAAAAACTGTCTAGGTATCTGGTGGGATTACCACAGTTTACTCTACTGAC